CTCTCTCTCTCTCTCTCTCTCTCTCTCCAGCAAAAGCTCATGGCCTATGGCAACAACCTTTTAAAAAAAAGAAAGAAAGAAAGAAAAAGAATAAACATGATTTATTGAGCCACTACTGCGAGATAGGCTCTCAGAGAATATCCAAGTAAACATTTCAAGCACTCTCTGACCTCACAGTTCTTACTGCAGTTCTTATGATAGGGGATTAATACAAGCGAACCTTAAAAAGTTCATGGAAAAAATGGAGTTCAAGTGTGTGAATTTATTTTGAGGTTCACATATGCTTGTTTGGTAAGATAAAGAAAGTCAATACAACACTTCTTTCTCTAAGAGCTTTCTTTGGGGGCTAGTTCTGTGGCCTGATATTTAAGGCAACTGGATCCCACATGGCTAACTATGTTACAAGTTCAAGTCCCGAACCTGGAAGCTTGAGAACGCACTGAGCATGTGTGCATATGTGCCCAAAACCCTGAAAGGAAGGAGAGATGGAGAAGGGATTTGGTGTGACCATTCCCCATGGGAGGTGCTTTCTCTTTTCTTCTCTGTCTGTCTTGCAAGGGCATACACCCTCTAGCAAACAATAGAGCTTTTCTCTATTCTTTGCCTAGAATCACACTAACCACCGTGGAAGGAAGTGGAGAAACTGGACTATCTGACAAACACAACGAAATAAAGACATTTCACTGACGCTAGTGAGACTCTTCCCAAGATGAAGATCTGGGATGGTCTAGAGAGAAACAGTCAGACCGGGAAGCACTAGAGACGCAGCCGGCCTATATACCTTCCCGCGGTTCACCCTCCCATTTCGGAAAGCGTTCTCTCTTGAGCTGCAGTTGGTGTCTAGGTAGACAAACTTATTTCCCACAAGCTAGTTGTTCATTTAGAAAACATTCCATTCCTTTTAGTGTGTGTGAGTTCAAGCAATAAGTCTGGCTGGATTCTCTGCTCTTTGGTGATTTGTTTTCAATCATACAGAGTTTTGCCCTTCTCCAAAAGGAGAGAGAGAATCTTTCTAGACATTGACTTGAAGTCTTCATCCTTCGAGTGGAAGATAAATGAATATCCTAGTGCCAGTACTGAGAACTGAGGACATCTGGTAATCGCTGACTTTGAGTTTTTACACAAGGGGACACCCAGACATGAACTGAACTCTAAGGAAATATCTTCATTTAAAAAACAAAAAAATCTGGGAACCAGCAGTTAGCGTAATGGCTATGGCGCTGGACTCCCACGTAGTCGACCGCGGTTCACATCCTGGACCTGGTGGCTTAAACTCACACCGGGCATGTCTGCGTGCGTGCCCAAGATCCCAAGAGGAGAATGGAGGAGAAGGGATTGCGGTGTGACCATCCCCCCTGGGGGGTGATTTCTCACTTTCTGTCTCTATGTCTCTCTCTGTCTGTCTGGCAAGCACACGTGCCCTATAGCGAAAACCTCTCCAAAAAAAAAAAAAAAAAAAAATACTCTCAGGGCCCAGACAGTGGCACAGAGGTAGAACAGGACACTCGGTGAGGCAGTTCCACATGGAAAGGGTCAGGTTCTCACCTACAGACCTGTATTCCAGGTGTACACAGGCTGAAGATGGGGGGCTGGCTGAGAGCAGCCGGGGACTGGATGGCCACAGCAGGATTCTATCTGGGGTGCCGCCTTTCTCTCTCTCAAGAAGTGAACAAATAAAGTTTGAAAAAAAAAAAAAAAGAAAAGAAAAGAAAAGCAATATTCTGATTACCCTGCTAAACTTGTAAAAAGTAAAAACTCAACAATACTCTGTTTTCAAAAGCTCCCTACAAGTAAATAAAAAATGGTTCATTTCTAAATCTCTTGATTTCTCAGTGGTTAAAAACCACGGATGGACTCTGTTGCAGAGACAACCATGAGATTAATTAAGTTGCTTTTTTGGTCATTTCCAGCAAACTTGCTTATGCTGCTCTTGAATTCACCGAGAAGCTAAAAATAAATCCGAGTATAGAATGCTTTTTGTTTGCCAGATACAGCTCTATACTTCAGAGATTCTGTCCTTGAAGTTTTAATAACGGGGCTAGGATTAAAAGTCAACACTTCACCATATTAGTGGAGTAAAAGAATCTTCCTAAAGTCTGATTATTGTTTGCCAGTTAATAGATTTTTCAATTAAAAAAATATTTGCTCTGCTTTATACTTTTCCCTGTTTTCCAATAGCAAGTTGTTTTGAATCTCCTTCCCAACAACTGTTAAAAAGCTTTGGTTGAAATTTTTGAGCTGAGAGAGAGAGATGCAAATAAAAGAAGAAGCAGATGGTCCCTTTGTGATTGAATGAAGGAAAAGGGTTTTGAGAACAATATGTGAATAGGTGTAGCCTAATAAAACACTCAGCCACCTGCTGCCTGAATCCTTCAAAAAAGATTCTGTTGCATATTCTGGGGATTAACTATTAATGTAGCCTTTGGATTGACAGAAAACATAAACTTAGAGGGGTTTAGGCCCTTTTCTGCCTTTGTTTTCACTCAGTTGGCCTCTACATTTCACATTGGTACGCCATTGCATTTCTGTGCTCAAGAGCGTAATTAGAGGTTTTCCGACACATGCTTCAATGAAGGAAAGGTGAGAAGAACGGGGTTGTGAGCACTTTTTTCTACTTTTGTTTTAAGTTTCCTGGGGCCCTTGGACAGGCTTGCCCTTGCAGAGACAGAAGCAAGAAGGCCTAGTGTGTTTGTAAAGGATGGATAAATATTTAGGTACTTTTCTTCTTAAAAAGGTACTTTGATCCTTATCTGTGGGCTTGCTTTCCCTTTCAGGGATTTACTCTTCAACCCGACTATCAGACTATCATCAATCCTACATCTACAGCTGCACAAGTCGTCACCCAAGCAATGGAGTACGTGCGTTCCGGGTGCAGAAATCCTCCGCCGCAGCCCGTGGACTGGAATGACTACTGCAGTAGTGGGTAAGCGGCCGCCATCGCCACCTGGTGGTGGGCAGCGCTCATAGCGTGCAAGCCCTGACTGCTCCCTACGCGATCTCTCTTCCTCCTTTTGAAAACAGGAACTAGGTATCCTTGGTTGCTTACTATGCCTTTTCCCATTTTATTGATTTGCTAATGAACAAGCGCAGCTGATACATACATATCCATGAACACAAGTCTGACTTTAGGCATCGTATGTGGATGTGCTTGATTGAGCTAATCTACAGTGTATTTTGAATGGGAAATATCATTTTGTATGCGGTAATGATGTACAGTGAATGAATAAAATAAAAATAAATGAATTCATTCATTAGAAAACCAGGAACTAGGTTGGTTCTATGTTCCTGTAAGCAGAACCCCATCTGTAAGCAGTCTTCTAGCCCTTCCAAGAATAACGCCTTTGGATGGCCCTAGAAGTCAGCTAACTGTCCACTTCACCAGTGCACAACTTCCCCTCAACCTAGAACAAATCGTTAGGAACCCGCATGCCTGTTGCCCTCACCTGTAGCTCTGTCCTAACCAGGAATGTGTTGTGTCTTCCACAGGGGCATGCAGAGGGACAAAGCACTGTACCTTACCTGAAACTCTGAACACCCCTCCTTTCCACTGAGGCATTCAGGGAAGTCTGGTCACCATGGATTGCTTTGTGCAGCAAGGCAGTTCTTCATTTTATTAGAAAATACAAGTTGCTAAGCACTTAGGACCATTTGAGCTTGTGGGTCACCCACTCTGGAAGAAATAGTCATGCTTCTTTATTATTTTTTTAATCCTTTATGGACATTGTTTTTCTTCTCCCCTGAAGGAGATTCGGACCATTCAGATTTTATGTTGGTTATTTGCTGTGAAGTGCTACGCTCTAGTAACTGCCTTAGCAACTGTAGATGTCTCGGATAAAAGTCCTGGATTTTCCATTGGTTTTCATAATGGGTGTTTATATGAAACTACTAAAGACTTTTTAAATGGCTTGATGTAGCAGTCATAGCAAGTTTGTAAATAGCATCTATGTTACACTCTCCTAGAGTATAAAATGTGAATGTTTTTGTAGCTAAATTGTAATTTGAAACTGGCTCATCCCAGTTTATTGATTTCACAATAGGGGTTAAATTGGCAAACATTCATATTTTTACTTCATTTTTAAAGCAACTGACTAATAGTTCTATATTTTCAAAATATTTGGAAAAAAAATATTCCCAAATGATTTTAATTTAAAAACAAATTGGCTTGGTCTCATTGATCAGACAAAAAAAAAAAAAAAAAAGAAAAAAAAAAAAAAACTAGTGTGAAGGGAAGCGCAAACACATTTATTTTGTACTGCAGAAAAATTGCTTTTTTGTATCACTTTTTGTGTAATGTTAGTAAATGTCATTTAAGTCCTTTTATGTATAAAACTGCCAAATGCTTACCTGGTATTTTATTAGATGCAGAAACAGATTGGAAACAGCTAAATTATAACCTTTACATATGGTTCTGCATTATTGTTTCTTCATGCTGTGTCTGTATTTAATCTTTTTTTATGGAACCTGTTGCGCCTATTTATGAAATAATAAATATAGGTGTTTGTAAGTAAATTTGTTAGTATTTGAAAGAGGTTTCTTTGATGTTTTAACTTTTGCTGGCAAAAAAAAAACCATTCACGCTTGGTGTGAATACTTTATTATTTAGTTTTTACAGTGACATAAATAAAGCCAAACCTGCTTTTCTTTTAGCAGCAAATTAAAGTAACCAATCCTTATTTCTGCATTTTTTTTTTTTTTGGTGATGCAAGTGAAAAATTCTTATATTGAAGAACTTTCTCTCTTTGTACAATAGAACAGAGGATTACCCCAAACTCAAGGCTAAACAGATGGATCCTCTATCTGAAAAATGGTTGCTGGTTGGGTCTCAGCTGGTTTTAGTCAATTCCAAAAATTCCCCCCTCCCCTCCAAGGAATTCAAGTTGAATCAACCACAATGTCTCGAGCTGCACGCTTTCAACAAAATCCAGAACACAGTTAAGGTTGAACTGAGGGCAGGAAGAAGTCAGGGAGAGGGAAGCAGAGCGTCCAGAACACCTCGAAACACGAAAGGTGAGTACAGCCAGCGGAAGGCAAAAGGAAAGCCTTGTGAACTTGCAGGCTCTTGATCCACCTTGTGATTATTCCTGTCTTTCTCGTGCCTCCTCAAGCTACTGCTCTTTCCAGAATTCCTGGGTCTTTCAAGAGAAGTCCGAGGGGACTAGGGATTTGCTAGGGAACAGAAAACATTGCGAAGTTGGCGGAGGGTGAGCGTAGCCTTTAGATGAGAAGGAGCTAGCAAATTACTCTTTCAGAGGGGATCGATCAAGAAGGTGGCTCTAGCTGGAAATCAGGAGAACGGCTGATGTCTCTTTCATGGCATGTGTGAAATAAATTTAGCAATTTAACGAAATACAAATATATGCATTGTATAATCCAGTCAGGATTAAAAAGACAAAAAGTATGCTTGCTTTGGAATGATTTTAGGCATTGTACAACCTTGAATCACTTGAGCATGTAATAACTAATAAATAATGCAGATCCAATGTGATGATTAAAATGACTGTAGCAGAGAGCTCTAATTTTCCTGTCTTGAAACTGTATAAGAACTCATGTGATTAAGTTCACAGTTTATTGTTTGTCTGTTTAGTATTTTAGAAATATACCAGCACTACTAATTAACTAATGTCTTTTATTTATTATATTATGATAAAGTAAACTTTTCACTTGCGTTCAGTTTAAACTGAGAAGGTCATTGCCGGGAGGAGAACAGGCAGCCTTGACTCTGACAGGCGACTGGTACAGGGAAGTACCATGTTGTTTGCAGCTTTCTAGGGCAGGTGAGCAGCCAGCGTAGAGAGTATTGATATCCGATACCAAATACAGTCAAGCCAATGTAAATAATGAAAATGCATCATCAATAAAAACTCTTATCATGTGTGACCGTATTCTATCTGGTGATCCATCAGTCTCTAAAGAACAAGCCCAGTCGATGGAAAGTCCCAGGTAGGCTTCATGGTGGAAGTGATCGGGGACCACAGGGATCACAGCTCCCAGGGCCACCTACGTTCTTTCCTGCAGTCGAGATTCTAGTGCCCTCTCACCAACCCGAGGAGCTTGTAGGGTGAGCTTGCCTAAGAAATCCGCCACCTCGAAGGAGGTGGGAACCCAACCTGGGCAGACTACACAGCACTGGGACTCAGAGGAACAGTGGCTTTACCCACCGAGTCCCCTGCTAGACCACGCTGAGGATTCCCGGCTCTCACACAGTCCTTCTGAGAGATTCAGCCATAATGCTGGGCGTAAACTATCTTCACCCGCATACCCAGATCAAAACTACGGCAAGTTAGGGCCCACAGGTGGTGCGGTGGTGAGGCTCCGGACTCCCACATGTCTGGCAGTGGTTCAAGTCTCAGACCTGGCAGCTTGCTTTCTCACTTTCTCTCTCTCTCTCTCTCTCTCTCTCTCTGTCTCCTTCTGCCCTATAGCAAATAAAAAAATGATAATAAATATTTTTTTCTTGATTACAGCAAATTAGGAAAAGAAAAAGAAGTGTAGACGATAGGTAGGAATGGGTTGAAATTGCTAACGTAATCAAGGAAGAATAATCCAATTACTCCCAATTCCCTTCCAAATATGACCAAATGGACATAGAAAAGGAGTCAAACAGATGACTTGCAGTTAACAAATGAGTGCATGTAGCCAAGGATGACGTTGGTCTCCGTATGATCTTCGTTGTCGCGGGGCAGAAAGCCCTTTCTGAAAGTGACGTGAGAGGTCCGTCAGAAGTCCTGACTATGAAAAGCAGTGTGTCCTGGCCCCATTCATTACTACGAAATTTTAAATACTTAGGAACGCAAATGTTAAATCAGCACACCAGACTGTTGTTTTTTTTCCTGGACCTCCTTTTGCCCTTTGCAAAAGAGTGAGCCCACTCATTGGATATGGAATGAGATCGAGTCATGTGAAATTGTTACTATTTGATCCTTTTACACACAAAAATGGGTATTTCTTACAGCTTCACCAAAAGATAGAAGAAATAGAAGCAACAGGACTGGGGCTACAGCTTTAGACACAACTGCAAGTGGAATTAGAAGTCCTTTATAAGACCCTAGGGGAAAGCACTCCTATAAGTAACCAGTCGTGTTTGCTTATAAGAGAATCAACCTCGGGGCCAGCAAGTGTCGTGGATGATCAAGGCACTGAACTCCCATATGGCCAACTGTGGTTCAAGTCCTGGACCTGGTGGGTTGCGTTCTCACTTTCTCTGTCTCTCTCTGGTAAGCTTGTGTGCCCTGTAGCAAATTAAAGAAATCATAATGATGATAAATAAAATTAAGTTTTTTTAAAAAAAGAAAATCACCCTACACTGCTATGTTATATTAAACAAAAAATATTGAAAATTAGGAAATGCCAGTAAATCCCAATAATTATCCTCACGTTTTTGTTACAGTTAAAAAAAAAATGTATGTGGCAATCTGTAACAATTATCTGCTGAAACGTGAAAGCTTTCATTACACAAAGAAGTTCTCAGAATGTTTATTTGTTGAATGGAGGCTTGATCTACATCTTCTTATTCCACTTATTATAACTCTCATTTTAAAGTAAGGATAGAAAAGCCAGCAGGTGGCATAATGGTTAAGGCACTGGACTCCCACACAGCCAACCATGGTTCAAGTCCTGGACCTCACAGCTTGCTTTCTCTCTCTCTCTCTCTCTCTCTCTCTCTCTCTCTGTCTTTCCCTGGTGATAACACGTGAATGCATGTGCCCTGTAGAAAATTTTAAAATAATAATAAATAAAATTAGAGAAATCTTTTTTTTTTTTTCAAGAGGTTTTTTGTTATAGGGTGCATGCGCTTGCCAGGAAGACACAGAGATAGAAAGCGAGAAATCAGCCCCTGAGGGAATGGCCACGCTACAATCCCTTCTCCTCCATTCCCTTCTCTGGATCTTGGGCACGCACACACACATGCCCAGTGTGAGTTTAAGCCACTGGGTCTGGGACTCAAACCACAGTCAACTACATGGGAATCCAGCGACATAACCATTATGCCAACTGCTAGTCCCTAGAGAAATCATTCTTTAAAAAAAAAAAATAAGGATAAAAATACAGAAATAGAATAATTTCCTCTTCCCCCAAACAGCTTGGAATGTCATAGCACATAGTAGGTGCACAGTATATGCAACAATATGAGGAAAGATCCATGAAGCATCACAAATTATGCTCAATGGGAATTGTTGGATGCTTCCTTGGTAATTTAAAAGGTCTTTCCTTCATTCTTTTCTGTTTTATTTATTTCTTCTACAAGGAAGAGATATAGTGACAATACCCCCAATAGGGTCTCAACATCTTGAGCCACCCTCAGCTTCAGCCAGTCCCAGGTCACCAGGTCATGGACACACACATGCCTGGTGTATTCAGGGAAGTCCCGGGACACAAACCCAGGACCTTCTGACACAGGTCAGCCTCAGAGAGCATCCTGTGTTAGCACTGTGCCACTATTCAACCTCCAAAGCTCTTTAAGTAGAGACGTAAATTAACTGTTGCAAGTGAGCACTGGGAGGTGAAGACAATGGAAATGTTTCATCACGGCTCCCAAACTTAGACCAAGACTGAAAGAAAGAATTTCAAAATGAGTTGTGCCATACTTTTTTGGCCTACATAATCAAACGAGAGTTTTTCTAGTTGCGACAAAAGTTAAAGACATAATACATACTAGTCACACCAAGAAAACATGAAGCAAGAGAGAAAAAAGGTGCTAGACAAGTGGGAGTGTTGCGCACATGAGAGAAATCCCAGCAGACGCGTTTCATGGAATGCTAAATTAAAGCACTGGTGAACAGGACACTGACTTTTTTTTTTTTCCTAATTACCAAGTGTTAAGATGATTTGGTGAAGCAAGGAAAAGGCTATATCCTGCACTCAACCCAAATTATACCAGGGGAAGAAGAAACGGTCCTAGTTTTTAAGACTCTCACAGGAGACGGCCCCACTTTTATGTGGAACCATTTCCCAGTGTGGAAGAAGCTTTTCTCACAAAAAAAAGTCTCTAAGTCCTTACAAGAGACTGCTGCATGGAGAAAGGGAATAGGGAACCTCCTCACCTCACCAACCTCAAAAGAGGAGGACTGGGAGCTCTGGAAGAAAGAGGGACCTCCCGACCCAACTAGACATATCTGGCAGTCCACGTGCATACAGAGAGC